GGTGACAAGATTCCAGCAGATGGCATTCTGGTTAGAGGTAATACATTTGTTGACGAAAGTATGGTTACTGGAGAAGCTATGCCCGTTCAGAAGCACATCGGCGACAACATAATCGGCGGCACTGTTAACGGCGATGGGCGTGTTGACCTACGTGTTACTCGAGCTGGCTCTGATACCCAACTAAGCCAGATTGTCAAGTTGGTTCAAGACGCACAAACCGCTCGCGCTCCCATTCAGCAGCTTGCTGATACACTCGCCGGCTACTTTGTTCCCATGATTCTTATCCTCGGCCTTGGTACGTTCCTTGTATGGATGGTCCTATGTCATGTTTTATCCCACCCTCCGGATATCTTCCTCGAAGATAACAGCGGTGGCAAGGTCGTAGTCTGCGTTAAGTTGGGTATATCCGTCATCGTCTTTGCTTGCCCATGTGCTCTTGGGCTAGCTACGCCCACGGCCGTTATGGTCGGTACGGGGGTCGGTGCTGAGAACGGAATTCTGATCAAGGGAGGCGCTGCCCTGGAGCGTATAACCAAGGTCACACAGATTGTCCTCGATAAAACTGGAACAATTACTTATGGTAAGATGAGTGTGGCCAGCATAGGTCTCGTCCCGCAATGGGCTAGAAGCGAGGTCAGTAAACGACTGTGGTGGTCCATCGTTGGTCTAGCCGAGATGGGGAGCGAACACCCCGTGGGCAAGGCTATCCTAGGCGCTGCAAAGAATGAGCTGTGTATGGGGCCCGAGGGTACCATTGATGGCAGCGTCGGAGACTTCAAAGCGGTTGTGGGCAAGGGTGTCAGTGTGATTGTCGAGCCAACTACTGCAGACAGGTCACGATACATGGTTCAGGTTGGCAATCTCGTCTTCTTGCAGGACAGTGGTATCGATGTCCCCAAAGATGCTGTCGAGGCCGCAGAGAAGCTTAACCAGTCGGCTGGCACAGGCACATCGCATGCCAATATCGCTACCAGCAGTGCTGGAACCACTAACATTTTCGTTGCCATCGATGGCCTTTACGCGGGCCATGTATGCCTGTCCGACACAATCAAAGAGGATGCCGCAGCGACCATCGCAGTCCTGCACCGCATGGGCATAAAGACCGCCATAGTGACCGGCGACCAATGGCCCACAGCACTCGCCGTCGCCTCCGCGGTGGGCATAGATACCAACAATGTCTACGCCGGTGTTAGCCCCGATCAAAAGCAAGCTATCTTACAGGAGTTTCAGGGTCGTGGTGAGGTTGTCGGTATGGTTGGCGACGGTATCAATGATTCGCCGGCCCTTGCGACGGCGGACGTGGGCATCGCCATGGCAAGCGGCACAGATGTGGCAATGGAGGCGGCGGATGTGGTGCTTATGCGGCCGACAGAGCTTATGATAATACCTGCCGCGCTGGCGCTCACGCACACCATCTTCCGCCGGATCAAGATGAACCTCGGATGGGCATGCATGTATAACGCTATCGGCCTCCCGATCGCCATGGGGTTCTGCCTTCCGTTTGGGCTCAGCGTACACCCTATAATGGCGAGCCTTGCGATGGCATTCAGCAGTGTGACGGTGGTGGTCAGCAGCCTGATGCTCAACTCCTGGACAAGGCCTGGTTGGATGAACGAGGTGGCGGAGAACGGCGGCAGAGCGCCTAAAGCGGAGAGGTGGGTATCGGGGAAAGGTATCGTCGGCTGGGTGAGGGAGATGGTGGGACATGGAGGCAAGGTAGAAAATGCTGGGTATGTGCCGCTACAGGACATGGAAGTATAAACTTGTGTATGACGATTGTCTTGATGTGCGTTGCAACAACAAAACCTGCTTCACCTCATACAAGGAAAAAATCAGACAGATGCAGGAATAATAAGTTTTACCTTACAGCCTACATTATCTTCTAATAAGAGAACTTGTAAAGATAAATAGCATTGTAGTCTTCTAAGTCTTCTATCTATATCTACATAACTATCTTAACATGCTTTTTTTATAGTAGGAAGGAGTACTCTTAAAGGAAAAGTATTTTTCTTCTCATCGATACAGTGCTTGGTGAGCTTTCAACCGGGGAAAGCGAACGTAGTTACAAGAGAGTTGCATTTTCGTCCACAAAGGCGCGTCCATGCTGTCAGTGATTCTATCTTTCGTATTTCTAAACATACGCGGAAGAAACGTATGTTAAGACCAAACTGGAGACTCTTTCTCAAACATTCAGACAAGAGGGACATGATTCTGCCATTTTTCATTCCCAGTCTAATTTTTCAGCCGCGGACTTCGCGATAGCGATAATTGCAAAATTTGATAGACGTGCTGGTGATAAGACGCAGGCGCAACACTGTCGAGTCACACTGTATTGTATGGCGGTAGAAGTTCATTATATGTAGCTGTATATGGAAGCCAACATATTCCACAGACCTGGAAAATACGATACCCTGTTGATATCTCTTAGGTCCATGTATCCATGCTGCTATTGACCGAGGCTTGTTCTATCATCAGTGGTCTAATGACTGCTCTCGGAGTTGCATCTGTCCAAACTCGGAGATCAAAAGACACATGTGTCGGGAGTGCAGAACGAGCGAAGGTGCAGCATTCAAAAAACGTCTACTGGGAGGATCTTTGATCCCATGCTCCAGGAGCAAATTTCACTTCATAGACTGTTCCGTACAACCCACAGTCTTTGCATCATTACTCACGTACGCTCCACCGGTCAACACAATACGAGCAACACTGTGTCATGTCATCATTGCTTGGCCAAAAAGGGGACTCGTATAGCAACTGGTGGTATCTGTGCAGCCTGTGCTTCGACCGTGCCGTATGCTTTTTCTCGTAAAGTCGCAAAGGCGCAAAAAGGTCAACGCCTCAAGCTGCGCATGGAGCATTGTGCAGTTGTGATATCTATTCTCCTGCGATCGATCGTATTTACTTCTGCCGCCGTGTGATGCACCCCAGCCACCCTTATCAGCCCAGGTATGATGACGTAGGTTGTGGCTTAGACAGATGTGAAGGATCGAAACCTGGAGCGCTGAGGTTTGAGGTACGAGAGATGTCGGCCCGTTATGCGCCGTCGGATAATGGCGCCGGTCGCAAGATACGAACTCCTCGGTTCTCCTCCTGCAAGAGTAAAACTATAACGAATGATCGTGGCCCATATCGCATTTTCTCCCTCCGTTATGCCGTTGCAAATGCAGGCCGAGGCGGGGAACTGCTGCTTACTGCACTGTAATGCACTCATTCACGCTAGAACTCAACGAACGGTAAGTTCTTCACCCTAGATTTACACTACGTGTGCGTTAGCGCAGCGTAGTCTTTTCACCAAACCTGCGTTCGCGTGCAGTGGTGAGATTTCGAAGCGACGAATTGTTTGCTCCGCCCATGTTGATACGTGGAAGAAGATGCCGGATGTGAATATATCCTCCCCAGAGTTTTGTACAATGCAAATGCCGAGGTTGCGATTACCATGGTACTCGAATCTGCCCCGTTGGACTTTGCCGGAGGCCCAGGTTTTCGTTCACGAATGTTTAGGTCCCAAGCGCTTCTCTCTCTGCCGTAACATCAGGTAGTGTTCGGTGTCTTGCCGAAGAAGGCATGTTCCGAACACGCAGTGGAAGGTGTTGCGTAAACCTCTTGAAGTAAGCGCCTCGAAGCGAGGGGTGACCTGGGAGAGCAGAGTTTTGCGCACAACGAACGGTATCGGAGTGGAGAACTGTCAAAGTCTGTTGAAGTTGCTGACAGAGGCGTCCACTCACGCTTCTGTCGAGTTCTAGAGTCGCGGACCGACACTACATCCACATGGAAGGATGAAAGTAACGATTAGTCCACCAAAGGTCTCATCCTTTACAAGTTGTCCCGTGCTGTGCCCCTTGGCGTTCAGAAGTCGCAACAGGAAGCCAGGTCGCATCTGCCGTGTTGGGAACGCCACGTGAAAATCATCAGAAGCGCCTCGCTTCCTCCTTCACGCCGTCGCCTGCGGAACGACTGAAGACGCCGCTATAGGACGGCATACGTTCCTGGTGGACAACGGAAGATTGCGGCTCGGTACGGGCCCATGGCATTTCTAGGCGTGTCTGAACACCATGATTGGTAGACACAGTCAAATTATCAGAAAAGTAAAGTTTGTTTACTTTCTGTCAGAGGTCTTTACTCAAGCACAATGCTCGCGCACTGTTGCCCACAACTTCCGATGAATCATGACGCGCCTCGTATCGTGGTGATTTTCATGACAACATACATGTTGTCGTTGAGTGGATGTGCATAAGTGGACTTGAAACGGTCAGGATCGGCGGCAGCGGGAATGGACGTTGGGTGTTGTCGCTCGACGCCTGCCTCAATCTGCTTAGTGGGCCCCACTACAAGACAGTTTGCAGTCCAGAACAAATCCTACTCCAGTCACCGAAACTTGTTCCTGCGCTGTACCTGAGAAGACAGCCAGCTAGACATGGGTCTTGCCTTAGACACCTCCAACGTCCCTCTCACAGCACACTACTAAGCAGGTTCTTCTCGTGCATATGCCGCGAAAACCAACGTGGCTCCAGCGACTCGGCGACCGACCATGCATCGTCAGCACCGTGATTTGACGGATTCCCGAAGTTTAATTTCCACACAAGCTTGGCCCCTACAGCCCTACCAAGGTTGACGAATCGCCAAACCCCAGAGCCGGCGCCGTCAGACCGGGCTGGCGGGAGATGTGCTCCATAATCTTATCGCACGTGGATTTTCGGAGTTGGCAGTAGTCTTGGGTGAAACACTGCAGAGAAGGCCGAGAAGGCGACGCCATGCGCTGTTCTGCACATGCTGTGGGCCTCAGGCGCTAGTTTGACTCTGTGAAAGGCGCCTCTTAATTTCCCAAAATATAAGTACAGCGTGGAAGGCACGATGAATTGGGCATCTCACTCCTTTGAAGATCCAGCTCTACCACGCTCTCTAGCAACCCCACAGTCATTCCTTTGATCAACTGATCAGTCATTCATTCAGTCATTATGCTTACCACCACCTTCATTATGGCCCTTGCTGGCCTCTCCACCATGATCGAGGCATCTCCTCTCCAGGCACGCGGCGGTAGCAAGCGCGGTCTTGCCTTCCCCAAACAGCACAACGGTGTTGCTGGATCTCAGTGGACACACAAGTTCTCTGGTTCCAAGGTCTCTTGGATGTACGACTGGGAGGCAGTCATCGATGGAACCCCCCTCGACCTCGAATACGTTCCTCTTCTTCACTCCAACCAACAGTGGTGCACTGAGGGTTGGGCCAACAACATTGCCAACGCCAAGAAGAACTACAAGGTTTCGCACGTGCTGAGCTTCAACGAGCCCGACCAAATTGGTGGTGGAGGCTCCAACATCGATGTTGCTACTGCTGTCGCCACCCACAAGAAGTTCGTTCAGCCGCTCGCCGCACAGGGCCTTAGGATCGGCTCTCCTTCAGTCACCAACGCCGACGAGCCCAACAAGGGCATCAACTACCTCAAGAACTTCATGAACCAATGTACCGGATGCCAGATCGATTTTGTCGTTGCCCACTACTACGCCTGGGACAACGCTCAGGATTTCAAGAACTACCTCGAAAAGTTTCACAAGACCTTCAACAAGCCCGTCTGGGTCACCGAGTTCGGCGTTACTTCTGGCGACGCGAATGCGTTCCTTAAGCAGGTTCTTCCCTGGATGGACGCTCAGCCCTGGATTGAGCGTTACGCTTACCACATGGTTGCGCCTTCCATTGGTACTTCCACTGACAAGAAGTACCTCATCAGCGCAGATGGAAACAGCCTGTCGGATATTGGCACGACCTTTGCCAATGCGTAGACGTTTGTTGTCTTGAGAGACGCTTCATGAGTTATGACTTCTTTTTCTTCTCCTTCTTGATACCACGTTACCTTCTTGTCTATAGACTTGTCCGAGACTTCGATACATACCTATCATCATTCAACCATTCATCATACACCATCGTTGCCTGTGATTTGTCTCATCGCGTGAAACTCAAAGTGAAATTACTGTCTTAGTACGATAACTATTTGAGTGACGTTTCATCCATCATCTCGCTTAGTCACTGGCAAAAATTCTGACCTTTATGATCAACAGAGCTGATGCGTGTCGACAAAAATGTCTAGTGATAGCCAATGGGTGTCACCTCAATTCGCTAACAATTCGGGGGTCGCCTGCTTGTAAGTTGTTGACCTACGACGCGCAACATACTACCAAACACCGTCCTTGGTCTCGCTCCCGCTCACCTCTTTAATTCTTGCTAGGACACCTAATCTGCCGCCATGGTAGTAAGCCCTCTCTTTCTCGAGCCAGTATCCTGCGCACCTGTGGAAACTCGCCTCGCAGCTATACGCGCTGCTCTATCTGAAGGCTTCTCTCCCAACGAACTGGACCGGCGCCCCCGCGGCGTAGGTCGCCCACTGGACTGGGCGATCGAGGATGGCGCTGCCGCCGATTACGCCCATCTCAAGCAAAACCTCCCAATTGTCCATCTACTCCTTGAGGCCGGAGCTGATCCCAGGCTTCCTTCTAGGCATCCTTTTGGCTGGTCGCCGATTGATTCCCTGGAGGCTTGGTTCAAGCAATATAAGATCAGACCGCAGGACTTCCCACCGGAGGTTTTGGTGTTGAAATCGTTCTACGAGAAGGCACTGGAAGCTATGAAAAGGGTTGCCGATGAGCTTGACGGTGAGTTTGCGTTGCTATCGTGTTGTGTATGTTCGTTGTTCGTTAGCTAAGCTAAGACGCAATTAGCAAAAGAAGTCGCTGAAGCCGCCAGAGAAGCTCAGAAGGAGGGCTCGTTGTTTGGTAGGCTGAAATTTTGGTGAAGCGATCGATGTAGCTACAGTAGGTGGTCATAGATTTATCGCAGGAGCATCTCAGTCCTGCTAATCGAATTTTTGGGTTCTTTGTTATGGGAGTGATCTTTTACCCAACGTCTTACTCGACTTCAGCATACCCTACGATGGTCACATCTATGATACAGATTTTTGGATGATCTTTCAAAATGACACGTCAAAACTGGTTCACTCACTCCCTGGCTGCTCTCTTCATTTCATAATCGTGTAGATGATCTGCTAGACCCTGCTCGATTTCCAACGCTTCTATAGTCCTCCCTCTGACCATTGTCCTTGCTACCTCTTGGGACGAAATTCCGGTTGGTACCAAAGTCCTGTATGTTCAAGTCTAATTCCAATGGAACATCTTCCTTTTCCTCGGTGCTCACGTAGCTCAAAGCTGCCAGAAAGGAACGGTCATCTAGATCAATCGCTCATACCATAGTTTGGCGATCAGTGAAAGTATTAGCATATATTAACAGAATGCAGTGAAGAAGTAGAAGTGGGAATTGTACAACAAGATTACAACGTCGACTTACCCTCCTTATCTTGAAGTCGAGTCCATGCCGCTCTCGTGATCGCTATTCTGTAGCTAACCACGTCGAGTCTCATCGTTGAGAAAGGTGGTGGAAGGGAAAGCAAACCATTGAGCAATCCTAGGGTGTGGTCATGATACCTTTCATAGAGGGCGATATGGATAATCATTTGTTTCTTGGTTTCCCCTAGCTACCAAAGAATTGTTTTACAGCAGAAAAGCAGCTCAAGGTGTAACTATCTGCACACTGGCTTCACCTATATCATTCACCGTGAGCTGATACGATCATGAAGATAACCGTGTTCACGCCGTCCTTTATCGCTGGCCAGACCTCAAAGTACAAGGAGCGCCTAGCATTACTCGTCTCATCCGTGGCTGTGTCAATGTCGTTATTAGAGCCTGATATCAATATCTGACTATATGACGCATCAGTAGAATACAATTATGCGGGCAGAGACCAGAGAGTCCAGAACCTTGAAACAGCAAGCGGCAAGATCATGTTGACCTACAACAACGACATCTTCAAGGACGGAAATATGGCTGCATACCAAGTTTGGGCCAGAGCGCAAGTAAATGACGGCGTGAAGCCAGTCAACAGCGCTATCAACTCTGCAATGGAGGGTATGGATTTTTGTTCCTTGATGCAAGGCCTTGTGTTATATGCTGATTGTAGTCTTCTAGGATACATTCAAACCGACTTTCTCGAGGAAACGTGCGATTTTGAGATGCTTGGACTGGGCTTAAACGAACTTTTCAATTCAACACTCGCGTACTGGGCTTTTCAGATTGTGTTATTTGTTTATATATACACATTACAAGTAGACCGATGGCTGCTCTCCACCATAGCCGTTGATCAATCTTCAATGTCGTCATCGCTCAACGTGAGACTGGCGCCTTTGTCTGCTAATCCAGAAATGGCCGATTCCGGCTCTTGCGCTCTGCTTTCGAACTTCACTCGTCCCTTCCTTTTGGGTGTCTCTAGGGTCGGTTTGTCTGTCGACCACTGCTCTTGCTCGCCGGGGCGGGCATCCTCCTCCATATCGTCTTCTTCAGTGGCACCAGCTAAAGCATTCCCAGTAAATGAGGTAATCTTCTTGATCTCACGCACAGTGGCTGCTGTAGATGGAGGCGGCATGCGTGACCTTCGTAAAATAGTAGTCAGGTAAGGAAGACGTTCCAAAAGCATCTCGTTCCGAGCCGAACCACCACTTCCTAGGAGAATTGAAGCGGGTGCATCTTCTTCCGCATCTTTCGAGCCTGACGCTGATGTGGGTCGTGAAAACGAGGCATTGCCTCTCCAAGTCTCGACTCCCCCGCTTGAGAAAGTCGGTTTTGATGTACCTGACCCCATCGAAAACAGTTCACCGCGTTGCGCTTTCGATACCCACATCTCCAATAAATCTTCAATCTCTTCCTGCTGTTTCCATATCCGCAGCGACACCGGGTAGTACATGACGAACGCGTTCCCTCTCGCCGCGCCGCCACTTGCTCCCTGGCCTTTCGCTTTGATGCCCATTGTGCCCGGGGGTGGCGCAATTCGTTTGACAGGATATGGCAGATTGTACAGAAGTCCGCGCACGCTCGTCTGAAAGCACATCTCGTCTTGACGCAGATTGTCCGCACTCGTTCCTTGAAGATTCCGACGGCCAGCGCCAGCGCCAAACCGATCCGGCGATAAAAGATCGGCATCCGAAAGACCTTCTATACATCCCTCAATAGAATCCATTGTTTCTTCACTATCTGCACCTCCGCAAGACAGGACATAGTTTTCGTGTAGAGCAGCAACAAAAGTTTGTGTATCGGTGCCTAGCTCGTCGATGAGCGTGTCAACATTGACCTCCGAAGCCTTTGGCCTTCGCCTCTCGGGAAACCAGTTCGGTGGATGGGCTACAGGTGTGTTAGGGTCTTCTGGTAGACGTTTGTTGTAGACGACCCTCCCAACGGCGTGGAAGATACCAAGAGTGCTTTCCCGCTGCGTTACCATCTCAAGCGACTCCTGTTCAATCTTCGTTATTGGGACATCTTTCGGTCCCTTCTTCTTGGTAAAGTTGACCTTTGCGCCCCAGCCTTCCGCGTCATCGCCGCGTAAGCATAAGAACTCGAGTGATGAGACTGCGCTTCTGATGTCTCCAAGCTCCGCAAGACGATGGATGGCTTGTGGCCCGAGAGTCTTCTTACGTCCAGACTTCCGTGCCTCTTTGACAATGATTTTGTCTAGCGCTTTCGTCATGAATGTAGTTGCGATTGGATTGAACTCGATAACATCCACTCCATGATGGGTAAGGATCTCAGGACCTAACAGACGATGTGCAGTGAAGCTGTCTGCTGCTGCTGTACTGGTAGACAGCAGAGTCTCTGAGATGATCATAACGATTGGAGTCACGGGCTGCTCGGAATCGACTTGGGTGGAGAAGAATGCAGTAGCTGATTGTGTGTTGGCAGCAAGATAGTTGAGGACGGAAGAGCGAAAAGATTGGACGGCCGAAGAAGTACGTGTAAATGTATTCGGAAACTCCTCTACTAGGACCAGTTGCTTCTGCCTTGCAGCATGACTGCTAGGCGGAGCGGACTGAAGACTCATTGTCGGCTTATCGAAGGCCAGACTACCAAAGGTTCCAGTTCTCCCAACAAAGTCGTCGAATTGTGCAGTAGCAGACACGAAGCTGTCAGAAGTGGACATGGAACCTATAGGGTTCTTCCACTCATGCATTTCAATGTCCAGTTCTTTGGAGAGCAAGGACATGGTCGTGGTCTTTCCACTACCAGCGGGGCCTTTGAGGAGCAGCAATCTCTTACGTGACTTGCCGCTGAAGACGTCGGCCAGCCATGTCCGCACGTCTGTCACCTTCTTCTTATGTACAGCGAGCTCATCGAGCGACACGGGACCGTACTTTTCAGTCCATGGCCGCCGGTCATCTGTGTCCTGCCGCGCCGGCTGAGACGACGATGGAGTGACACTGCGGGCTCCGCTTGCTGTTCGTAGGAACTTCTGTCTACTGTTCACGGTACTGCCATGGTCACTTGGCGCTGTCGCAGCGATCGGTCTCTTGCGCACGGGGAGAGGTTTCGAGGGTTTGACCGGTTGCGCATCGTCCGAGGAATCAAAAATGTCGTCGTCGAATATATCGTCTACATCCTCAATGGACGCGGCAGGTTTCTCGGGACTCGGCGTGGGCTGTAGCGATTGCGGCCGCGGCACACTGCTGAAGAAAGAAGTGATGGGCTTGAGGACGGGCTTTGTCTTGGCCGGGGATTTGGCTGGAGACGTGGTAGTCTTAGTAGCAGCTGTTCTCGATCGCGTGGGAGAGGCTGCACGTGTCTGGGATCGGGTAGCCTTGTTCTTACCATGCGCCCCAGTCGGTACGCTTGTTAGTGTGCCCCTCTTGGAACGCGTGGGAGGCGGTGTGTGTGAATCATCTGCTTCAGAGTCGGATGAGAGCACAATCGGCTGTTTCCGCGTGGCTCGAGGCTTAGCCATGCCGCCCCAAGTTGCTGGACCTGGTGAAGACTCGACTGCAGAATGACATACTCAGTGCTAGCCTGGTTGGAGTTGCAAAGCGCGTGATGGGAGCCTGTGCAGCCCTGACGATTTCACGTCGCGTCGGAAGGCGGAGGAAGTTCCACGCCTCGGGTCAAAGCGCGCTAGGTCGGGTGGGGCTAGCAGCTACTAAACTTGTTGACAACGCATCTTCCTTCTGCATCTTCACACACACCGCTGCTCTTTTACCGCTAGCACCCGCTGTAGTGCACTCCTTTCGAGGCTGATATGCAGCTAACACGTCCAACCGCAGTATGCCACAACGCCCTCCCTGTCGCTTCTGCATCGAGGCCAAATTTTGACTTCCCACGGCGTCATCGCGTGCATATTGGTTCGTTGGATCGTTTTCCTACAGTAAATATCAACAATGAATTCGGGCCATGGTCTCCCGTTGATCCACTGCCGATGGCTGCCGTTGTGGTACAGAATGAGAAGCACAGCGCGACCATATAGACGTAACTGTACCAGACACGCGAAGGCGTCTGCCATGGCTGGAGACGTTACGCTCGGGGCATATAAATTAGGCCGCTCAAGTTTGCGATGAGCTGGCAGCTCCCTGCCAATCTCCCATTGGGCGGCATGGCGTTTGCAGCTTGTACTATCCTCTTTCATCATTTTCACTGCCGCGTTCCTTATATACTGATTCTGCGCTTGCTCATTGTTTTTTGACCTGTTTCCCGCCGCCATGCCACGTTAATAGACAGCTATTCTAATCTCTGCAACCATCTGAGCTCAAAGTGAGAAGCGCATGCTCTGTTGTAATTTTTAGGTGTTCTGGCGTCTTTAACATTATATAAAACGACCATCGCACTTGGCGGCCGCCGTTATGGTGAAGAAGAAAAGCAAGAGCAGGAAACCGGTGGAGACCGTTGCTCCACCTGACAACGTGCCAACGAATACTGCCGAACCATTTCTAGATGCGCCTGAAGTTCCATTGACAGCAGAGCTATCAGCCACAGAAGCAGCGTCCGGGGAGCAGTCAATGCCAACCGCTTCCGAAGTGGAGACAGACGAGGGTACGGTTCCCACGCCGGTGGACGTGTCCACACCTGCACCCTCACAACACTCTGAGAGCATACAGACTATTCCCGACGAGGCCACAGAGCCACAGGCCATCGAGACCATACCTGCTGCAGACCTGGAGCCGCCAATGGAAGAAGAGCGGGAATCTGGATCGCAAGCGGACCCTACCGAAGCCACGGTCTTAGCGACTGCCGCACAAAGCGCTGAAGATATGCAGCATACTACAGTGGAGGAAGAAGAGTTACCATCAATCGAACCAGGAGAAGCGAATGATCCAGAACCCACTGTGGAGCAAGAGGATGCGTCAGAAGAACAACAAATTACAATCCAAGGGTACACATATCAACCAGCGCTCCTCCCCATCCAAGAATCTGTTCAGCATACAGCTGAAGACGAAACGCCGG